AGTTATTAAAAGAGTATGCTGATATATTTGCCTGATTTTATCAAGATACACCTGGGTTGGATATCAACATCGTTGAACATCACTTGTCACTCAAGCCCGAATGTCCTCCTGTCAAGAAGAAACTCAGAAGGACCAGACCTAACATGGCACTTAAGATCAGAGAAGAAGTAAAAAAAAACAATTTGATGTTGGGTTCCTAGCCACTTCCAATAATCCTTAATAGGCTGCTAACATCGTCTTGGTTCCTAAGAAAGATGGGAAGGTCAGAATGTGTATGGATTATTGAGATCTCAATAAGGCAAGCCCGAAAGAAGATTTTCCTCTGCCTTATATTGATGTCTTGGTGGATAACACTATGCAGTTCTCTGTCTTTTCATTCATGGAAGGTTTCTCAGGATACAATTAGATCAAGATTTACCCAGCTGATATGGAGAATACCACCTTCATCAAGCCTTGGGGTACATACTGCTACAAAGTCATGCCATTCAGTTTGAAAAACACAGGGAAAACATACCAACATGCCATGATAACCCTCTTTCACGATGTGATCCATAAAGAGATTGAGGTTTACGTGGACGATATGATTGCTAAGTCCAGAACTGAAGATGATCACTTGGACCATCTGAAGAAGCTGTTTGACAAACTCCGAAAGTTCAAACTGCGATTGAATCCTGCTAAATGCACTGTTGGAGTCAGATTTGGTAAACCGTTAGGCTTTATTATTAGTTAGAAAAGCATAAAAGTTGATCCCAACAAAGTTTGAGCTATTCAAGACATGCCACCTCCCAAAACTAAAAAAGAGGTACAGAGCTTTCTGGGCCGACTTAATTACATCTCCTGATTCATTTCTCATCTGACGGCTACCTGTGAACTGATATTCAAATTACTAAGGAAAAATAAATCGTTTGAATGGAACAATGATTGTCAAGAAGCTTTTGACAAAATAAAAAAATAGTTGCAAGAACCACCAATCTTAGTACCACCGGTTCCTGGTAGGTCTTTAATCATGTATCTCACTGTCCTTTATGAATCTATAGGTTTTGTATTAGGTCAGCATGATGACACAGGCAGAAAAGAGCATGCAGTTTACTATCTGAGTAAGAAGCTCACTGATTGTAAGACTGGGTACTCATTATTGGAGAAAACTTGTTGTGTTAGGGTTTGGGCCGATCAACGCCTAAGATAATATATAATTTGCCATACTACTTTATTGATATCCGAAAGGGATCTGATAAAGTATATATTCGAAAAGCCTGTTATCTCTGGAAGAATTGCTCAGTGGAAAATGTTGTTAACCGAATATGACATCCAACATGTTACTAAAAAAGCAATAAAAGTGAGTGTCTTGTCTGACTATCTTGCTCATCAACCCATGGAGGATTATCAACAAATGAATTTTGAATTTTCGGATGAGGATGTTCTATTTATCGGAGATTATGAAACTCCAGACTCAGACATAGGACTCGAACCAGGGGCGTGATGAATGCGCATGTTCGACGGTGCCTCTAATGCTAAAGGTCGTAGAATTGGTGCTTGGTGCTACCCTTATCTCTCCGACAGGTTTTTATCTTCCCTTCACCTCCAGATTATGCTTTGAATACACAAATTGATATGGCTGAATATGAAGCATGTATCTAAGGAATTGAAACGACCATTGACATAAGAATCAAGATTCTTGAGGTCTATGGAGATTCTGCTCTGGTGATCGGCCATGTCAGAGGGAACTTTATGACTCTAGATTCCAAGTTGGTTTTGTACCAAAAACATATCACAAAATTGATTCCCTATTTTGGTGAAATCACTTTTCATGATATCTCAAGGGAAGAGAATCAATTAGCTGATGCTCTTGCCACCCTGGCATTTATGTTCAAAGTCAAGTGGTAGAACGAAGCTCTTGCTATTCGCATTGATCATTTGAATGAACCAGCACATCGTTTAGTAATCGAGGAAGAGTATGATGACAAGCCTTGGTTCTACGAAATCAAAAGATATTTGGAAAAACAGGAATATCCTGAGGGTATCACTATCACCACAAGAAGGCTCTTAGACAACTTTGTGCCAAATTCTTCTTGAGTGGTGATGTACTGTATAAGAGGAATTATGACTTCGTGTTGCTCAGATGTGTGGATAGACACGAAGAAAACACGATCATAAGGTCCATACATGAGGGATGTGATGGTTTACATGCCAAAGATCCTGCCATGGATAAGAACATCCTTCAAGCTGGTTATTACTGAACAACAATGGAGGTCGATTGTTACAACTTTGCCAAAAGATGTCACAAATGCCAAATCTACGGTGACAAGATCCATGTGCCACCGACTCCATTGAATGTTTTAACTTTTACTTAACCCTTCTCTATATGGAGTATTAATATGATTGGAATGATCGAACCGAAAGCTTCTAACGATCATCGCTTCATTTTAGTTGTTATCGATTACTTCACCAAGTGGGTTGAAGTTGCTTCTTACACAAATGTTACATGACAAGTGGTTGCTAGATTTATCAAGAAAGAGATCATTTGTCGTTATGGTATTCCTAGCAGCATTATCACTAACAATGCCAGTAACCTGAACAACAAGATGATGAAAGATTTATGTCAAGAATTCAAGATCGAGCACCACAACTCTTCACCATATCGACTCAAGATGAATGCCACCGTCGAAGCCGCAAACTAAAATATCAAAAGGATTGTCCAGAAAATGGTCAAAACTTACAAGGGTTGGCATAAAATGCTTCCCTTTGCATTGTACAACTACAGAACTTCAGTTCGTACCTCCACTGGGGCAACTTTGTATTCGCTTGTGTATGGTATGGAGGATGTTCTACCCATTGAAGTCGAAATCCCGTCGCTTAGAGTCATCATGAAGGAAAATCTCGATGAAGCTAAATGAGTCCAATCCATATACAACCAACTGAATCTCATTGAAGAGAAGTGCCTGACGGTCGTTTGCCATGGTCAATTGTATCAGAGACGCTTCAAGCAGGCTTTTGAAAAGAAAGTTCTCCCTCGAGCGTTTCAGAAGGTGAACTCGTGCTCAATAGATATTCTCCTATTCACTCGGATCCATGCCGCAAGTGGACTCCCAATTACAAATGACCCTTTGTTATCAAGAAGGCCTTCTCAGGCGGAGCCCTAATCCTCACCACCATGGATGGGAAGGAGTTGCCACTACCCGTGAACTCCGACGCAATAAAAAAATATTATGTCTAGAAAAAAATGAATAAAGAGTCCGCTAAATTGACATCCGCAATGACAATTTAGGAAAAAATGGGTATCCTAGTGGACGAAAAACAAGAAAAAATTTCCAGACAAAAATTAGGGATAAATACATTTGACTGCAAACACTTGAATCTATCTTCATCATAGTTGGACCTTAGACAATAAATGAGCAATCTAATCATCGTCAACTAGTGCAAGGTGTTGGAACCTAGACTTACAGTGGATGGTGGCTAATGTTGCAATCAATGCAAAACCTAATTTCTCATTGCCAGTTACCTCTTTTTTTCAATTTATTGCAAATTTTCACATCAAGGATTTTTGCATCCTTGTACACACTTTATGTACAAATATTTTTCATATTCAATAAAATTCATCATTTGATTTCTCAATTATCTCTTTTCAAAATTTTGTTTGCAAAATAAAAGATTATTTGTGATCACATAATAGTATAAAGTGTTGAGACGAACAAAAAGCTAAATCAACAGAGAAAATATTATGTATTGCATGATTTACCGAAAATCTCTAAAAGATGATCAGTAGAGTCATTTCTCCAGCGAGTACCGTCATGATTGTGTTGTGAAGGTTGCTTGCCTTCCATTTCCCCAGCAGAGCCATGATTGATCCCCAAATAGAGTCATGTTTGGCCTCTCTTCCCTAACAAGAGCGGGATCCTCGCAACATGCCCAACAAGTCTTAGCCTTCATTCCCTAGCGGTGATTGGTAATTTAATATTAACTTTTGTAATGTTAACTTTTGATATAATATATTTAATTAATTTAATATTAACTTTTGTAATGTTAACTTTTAATACACATATTTATTAATTTAAATAATATTTATTAATTTAATTTAATCTATTTATTTTTATTATTTTTATTTTGTAATGTTAACTTTTGATATAATATATTATATATTATGTTAAACTTATTATTTATAGTATTTTTAGAATATTAATAAAAATTATAATTTATAAAATTTAATGGTAGTGCACGGTAAGTGTAAAAGTATATATATATATATATATATATATATATATATATATATATATATATATATATATATATATATATATATATATATATATATATATATATATTTAAATATATATATATTTAATTTAAAATATTTTAAAGTGTCAAATCATATAAATAATTTAAGATTTAGAGGCTGATTTAACAGAAAATGTAGTTATCATTGGTTGGTTGACAGTATAAAAATAATTTACACTGTCAGTTCATCATCTTTTGTCTCTAATTTGTAATTTGAATATTCAAAAAATTTATTTAAATTAAATTGCATTAAATTAAATCAAATCTAATTTTTTAAATAAATTCTTAAAAACCGAACTAAATTATAAATAAATTTACTTTTGAATCGGATAATATTTTAGTTTAATCAATTCAAATGGAACCACAAACCCTCTTACATTTCCCTTTCTTATTCCTTAAAAATGTAGCATTATTAAATTATTTTAAAAGAATATATGGACTATTATTTAGAATGGAACACAAAAAATGTAAAATAAATGCATAATAATAGTTTGGTTGTGTTTCAGTAAGTTGTTCTAAATTCTACCTGGCTCTTCTCAAATTCAACTACGCTTTCTTTCCCCTCCTTATATCTCAACTACTTTATCCTCTTCATCAAAATTCAAAATCCCTATTCAATTTTTTTGACCTAATTTCTTTCAATCCAACCAATTTCTCGAATGAAATTCATCAATTCCTATTTCCTTAGGTGAGATTCAAATCCACAATAGCGGATTGAATTTGAATTCATGTCTGGTTCTTCTGATGAAGAGATCTCGAATGGTAATCGCGATGGTTACCAAAGAGGAGGTAGTGACGGCGATGACGATGAAGATGAAGAAGAGGATCGGAAGAAGAAGAAGAATCGTGCAAGAGTTGATTTTAGTTTTGGTAAGAGGTTGGTACTTCGTCAATTTACGAAAGCGAAGAATCAAATTCGGAGAGTCCGAAGCAGAAAGGCTCTTCTTTCGTCTTCGAGGAATGTGAATGTGAGTAGTAGAGGTAAGGTGGTGATTGTTCATGGTGATGATATTGATAGTAGTAATGGTGCTGCTACTCGAAATGGATTTGGTTGTAAGTTTTGTTTTTCGCGTCCTAGTGTATTGGAAAACCCTGATGGGTCTCCTACTAGTGACCCTAATGATCCTAAATTTACCCATGCTATGTTGAAGACTTTGATAGAAAAGAATGATTTCTATTCCAAAGAATGCAATCCCCATATTGAATCCTTAATTGATTGATTAGTATTGTTGGAGAGTTCCAATTCAATTCCTTTACCAACAAAATGTTGGATTTTGTTTCCTTGTGCTGTTTGGGGTTTATCTCTTTGTTAGATGGTAGATGGAATTTGTCTATATTGTTGGGTTTGTTCTGTGCTGCCTCATTTTGAAACTCAGAACACCTCGCGGTGTATTGATTGGATGTTCAATGAAAACCGTAGAGGTGAGAGTTAATTGGAGGGAGGGAAACTCAGAGCAGGAATAACCTGCCGTCGTTTTTGTTTAGAGCGTTGTGGTCCAATAAGTTGTGGACAATGCACTTGTAGCCATTGAGTAGTTACATATTACGAATGGTTCTTATAGATGACAGAGGACTGTCTAATCAGTTGAGTGTGAAATAGGTTGGTGAAATTCGGATTCCTTGATATTCAGGAACCTCTACTTGTCCTCAACTAAGAAGCGGTGTTTGTACATATTAAAGAGAAATTTTTTGAACCCTGCTATATTCATAATCTATTTGTGTTATAAGTTTTTCATTTATTTATTGATGTACGCACATTGTTCATTGATCTTCATAGTGGTTTTAATTGATAGTCGTTTAAAATACCATCTTTATTGCTGTTGTCCAGTTTGATTCTTGTATACATGTGTTTGGTGATATTTGGCAATGCCTTCCATACTTCAGTCATCATATATTCATAAAGATTTAGCTCTAGAGAACTTAGTAAACATTCTGTATTAAAGGTTTAGGCTTTGGAGAACTTAGGAAACATACTGTATTGCAAAGTTAGGTCATAGATCGGTTTGGCATATGTTAATTGTTTTTTTTTTTTTTTGTTTTTAATACATTTTGTATGTTTATTTTAACATATTTTTTAGTAGACTGATTTGAATGCGAGATTCCAATTATCCATCTGTTAATTTGAATGCCAGATTACATTGTGAACTTTTCTAATTGATGGGTTTAATACACATCCGTGTGTCTCCTTTCACTACTACAAGAGATAGTATAGTAGTATTAACTTGATTCAAAGGACATCCCAAAGTATTTCAAAGATTAAGATGAGTATTCCAGACTTTCACTACCACTTTACTGTAAGAAAATTAACATGGTTATATTGGCAAAGTATTACGATACCCCAATTTATCTAGCCAAAAGCAAATTTATAGTGGTTTTCCCATTTGCCCCGGGCAGGCAGACAAAATCCTATCCTTTTCTTTTGATCGTGTACCTGCCTGTGCCATTTGCTTTAAGTGAGGATCCTGTGTGAATAATAAACTCAAGATACACATATCAGGATATTACCATAGCCAAGTGGTCCTCTAACCTATCGAATTGCTGAGGATTCTTTTGAAGACTATAGTTATTGTTCTTTAACTTGCATAGCATTTGAAGGCACTACATCCTTCCTCTTATTTATGATGTCTGTTTTTGATTATTTCAGATACACTACATCTTCATGTTTTCTTTTTTGCCGTAAATAATTTCATGGGAGTGCAAACTTTGTTGCACATGCTTCCAAGTTAGATGCCTGCTGATGGGCAGTGTATGTCAAATTTTTTTTACTGCTGCAACTTTTTTTTATGCCACCACCAGATCTACTGAACTGAGTAAAGTGGTTGAATTATCAGTTCTGATATCAAGTGGTTTCAATTAAGAGCATCTTTAATAGTGCTACTCACTTTTGGATTCTTTATGGGGCCCACTAAAACACATCAGTTTAAAGCAATTCATCCAATTTTTTATTCCAATGGTTCAATTCTAAAGAACTCACGTTAAGTCTTACAACAATACTTTATTCATATGAATTTTATTTTAACTTAAAATAATAATTTAAATTATTTAGACTAATATTAGTATAAAATAAATAAAAATCAATTAAACTTAAAATTTAAAATAATAATTAAAATTAATTTCAAATACATGACATATAATTAAAAACAATAAAAATAAATAACATCACATAATTAATCAAATCTAAATCTCGTCATTCTCATGTTCAAAACGTTCTCAAATGTATTCGTCTAAATCTCTTTGAAGTTGACGATGAACTTGTTTTTTACGAAGACTTGCTCTTCTTTATAGTCTTGTTGTAAGGTTCGGATGAGGACCATTAAATGTTTTAGTCGTTGAGTTGTTGTTATCTACATTATCATAAAAGTAATCAAAATCACCTCCATATGTGTCGTTCGTCTTCAACAATCATGTTGTATAATAGGATGCAAGCCGAGATTGAAGCACTCCAAACGTCCATTCCACATCCTTTATAAATGATTCTTGATGTTGTGCAAATAGTTTTCTCTTTTCTCCTTGCGGTATTGAAATGGTCTTGACAAATGTAGCTCACTCAAGATATATACCATCTACTAAATAATACTAGAACATTGCATTTTATTACAATAGGTGTTGATACATAATAAATACTACATAATATTTAAATATAATAATACTAGGATATTGCATCTTATTACCATCCATATTTTTCTTTTAGCTTATTACCATGTTTTTTTATGAAATTCACGTTGACTATCTTTCATCCTAGAAGTCTCTGACATGATGAATTGCATATTCTTCCTCCTTAAGTCGTGCTAGATTTTTCATTACTCCCAATCTTTTATTTTGTGTATCATGCATAACACTAAAAGGTGGTTCAGTTGCATTTGCATTTTTCTTTGCCTTACCCTTTCTTTCTTTTAGCTGCCTTTTGTCCCATCGGTCGCTCCATTTGAGATGATGAGTTAAACTCATAATTTGAAGGTGTCTCTGAGTTAGGTGATGATGTATATGCACCGCTATCAGAATTCTTTGTTCTCTTTGAAGAATTTTTGGTGGATGCCCCCACCCACTTAGGTTCGTCTTTTAAAATCCACCATGCATACTCAAGATTGAATGGTGCACCTTCATCTTGAGCAAAAAAAGCATGTGCGTTGTCTAAGATATCTTTCTCTGATATTCCACTTTTCTTTCCATTATCAACTTGTTTGTAACACCTAACAAATTTTTTAACAATACTTTTTATTCGATTCCATCGACATTTTAATTGTTTGTGTTGCTTATCTCGCGACTGCCCACGATAATGGTTATAATTGGTGGTGATTCTTAACAAATTGTGGAACTTGACGTTCGGACATAAACTCAATCTGTGTTTCGGGTTCACGATGAGAAAAGTCCACCCCATGAGTATTTATTTGAGGTCTAAAATACATATTTGGGTTGTTTGGTGACGGAAAAAATATGGCAGAGTTTATTGCCGGTGATGAAAATTGAGAGTTGGGCGGTGATGGACATTGAGAATTTTGAGCATTAGAATGTTGATAATTTTGCATGAGTTGATACATAGATTGTTGAAAATTATATTGATTAGGATCCATTTGACTAAAACAATAGTGATTTTAAAGTAAATAAATAAAAATTTAAGTAAACTAATGTGTCAAATGAAGGCTAATGAGAAGAATTTGTAAGAAAAGAATTGAAAATGCAAGAGTAAAGTAATGGAATTGTGAGAGATAAATTAAAATTTTGAGAGAAAATAAAATATGAGAGAAGATTCGTGTGTAAAAAAAAATTGAATTGGTCTTATTCTGTCCGCTTTTTTAATGCACACACAAAAAAAATTTAAATGATATTTTTTATATAGTATTAATTTTAAAAGGAAGTTATGTAGGAAGTTAATAAGAAGAGGTTGAATAGAAAGTTAAGATGGTAAGTTATGTGAAAGATGATAATAGTAATTTTAATGGAAGTTATTGTGTAAAGTAAAAGTAAAATTGATAGAAAAATAGAGGATTCCACACCATATTTTGTCTTTATATATGTTATAGATACAAAATTATTGTTAAAAAATAAATTTTTAAAAAAATTACATTGAAAATGCAACGGTAATATTAAATGTTAAAAAATTATGATACTATTTTTACTTTTCAGGGTAACAAAATTTGATTTTTAATATTTTTTATTCTACGAGTAAAATTCATATTTTGTTTACTATAATAAGCAAAAAAAAAAAGCCACATTAAATTTTGTTTACTGTTATAAGTAAAACTCATTAGTTTTTAAACTAATAAATATTTGTATTATATTATACCCTTATTTAATCCAAAGACATTTAATATTTATAATTGATTCATTAATATAGTTAAAGATATTATAGTGGATTTTAATATGATTTTATATGAAATCAAAATTTTTTATTGTATTTAATTAACTTTTTTAATAGATATAAAAAACTTTCTTATTAGGTATAAAAAACTTTTTTAATCAGTATAAAAGTATTTAATTTTATTCATAATTGTGATTTTCTTAATCAGCGTAAAAATAATTATTTTTGTTTATAATTGTGATCGAAGAGAGTATTATATTTCAATTGTTAACTTTGTAAATTTGACTAATTAAAAAAGAAACAATTGTAGTATAAACTTTGCAAATTTGACTAAGAAAAGAAATAATGGTATCTCTATCCGATCTATAGAGAATGTATACCTGTTAGATTTGTTGATCCCTATTCCTTAAACTTTTGTTTTTGAATAGGAATATGGGAATCTGAAAAACATAAGCTTTTTATTCCAATAGTTGATTGCCAAGTTGCCATGCAAAGATTTAAAATCTGAGTACATAAAAGTAAAGTTAAAAACACAGGCAAGAATTCTTGTCAAAAATTATCTAGAATTGTGAAAGCAATGTATTCTAAGCCAAGTAGTACACTTTTCTTTTTATTTGTTATTTTAAATTTAAAGAAACTTCTGTTAGAATACAGATTGGTTCTTAATTATATTTCTATGTTTTGATTATAACTTTTATGAAATTTTGTATTAAATAATTATATACTCTAAAATTTGTTCAAGTATGTTTGCTGCAGATATTAAAGTGAATATTATTCTGGAAGCAAATTAGATCTGAACATGGAAATATGCAAGGCTCTGAAGCGTCAGAAGCATCTCTTAGAAGAATCTGAACGCTGTCTACAGAAGATTCTGAGCGCTGCCTATAGAAGGATCTGAAGCAGAAGCTACAGAAGAATCTG